ATATCTGAATAGACAAACTTTGTTTCTAATTACTTGTTTCAAGCTCAACCCTGAAAACATATGCAAGAGACTGAGTAAATGAGTAAACTTACATCAGTACTTACTTACCCTGACTACAATTAAAAAACTTGATTACTTATGACTGACTATTTATGTTCTCAGTCTACAAAAGTAGCCTAAAAACAATGCTTTTAAGTTGAAGCTCTTCTAGCATCAAATACAGGTTCAGTAAAGAAACCAAAACAAAACATCAATAGAAGGAGAAACATTTTTTTAAGCCATTGGTTTTTAACTATAAAAACTGTTCTTAAAAGACTGAGATCTCTCAAATGTCTTCCACCACTGCAACTAGACTCTTTTTGGAACTCTAGTCCTGCCATACATTTGCAAACCTCAGCTGTTTCCTATGATTCCTTTATGTTGCAAAGTTTGGCTTCCAGAGCAAGGTATATTCCTGTGAATAAAAGCATTGATCTGCAGTTTTAATATTAATCAAATAAACATATGTTGCCATCTATTTAAATTCTCTAGAAACTTGCTGTTGAACACTTGGTAAAGACATAAGTATTAGGTGTTAACCCGAGTACATCTTTATAACCTTAGTAAAAGATGGCTGCCAGCCACATGGCTGCCCATGAGGTCATGAGCCAAGATGGAGGGAGCCACGTGGTTGCTGTTTAAAGCTCATTTTTCTAAACAATAATTACTTGCACACATACACACAGTTGGATCAAAGTTACACACATACATACAGTTAAAGCTTGCTTACATTTTCAAGTCACATACCTGTATACATACACACATAAGCAGTTTGCAGAATCATGAGGCATTCTTAAGATGAAAACAAATAAGAATTAACTTTCAAATTCAGTATTTGCAGGTATAAGAAACCATAACAAACAGTTTACATCACATCCCCTCTGACCTTCTACAACCTTCCATGTATCCTTGGTCCATTCCTTTGATCCCTCAGACATTTACACTAGACAAATTTCACTTTTTTCTTTTCCTTTAAAACAGAAACTCTTACCAAAGTCTTTCTTGTGATTTCCCTCAGTACTCTAGAATATATTGTAAAGTTACAATATTTTAAACAAGAACAGAAATACATGCATATACGATAACAAAAATAACTCTCAATTTGCATCAGCACTGTACCTCAGACTAGAAACTGTTGGTGACATTCCATTCTTGGAGCCAGACCTTGATCAGGTTTTAGCCTAAGGGCAGGTCTTGGGAGCCCCACCCAACAGCATGGAAGAAAACGGGGAAAGTGTGCACCATGGAGACAAAAGATTGCTGTTAACCTCAGATTTTCAAGAACACGAGAATGACAGACTGAAAGTGACTCCATGCCCTGGCTGGGCCCACAGACCCGTAGGCCACTCCTCAGCTGTGACCCTGTAGGGGCAGTTAGTTCTCCACCAGGCCCCACACTGAGCTCCTTGAGGCTCCTGCTGGCTCCCGCCAGCTCTGCCCCATGTCTACACAGGAGCCCAGCCAGAACCTGCCGACCATATCTGGGCCCCACAGTGCTCACAGCCTGCTCTAGCACAAAGCCATGCCTAGTTCCCATGCAGCCAAGCCTCTACTCCACAGCTTTTTGAGTGAGCTGGGGCCCCGAACCCGCTGCATCTAGGCCCCGTGATGCTCACGGGCCACCTAGCCCTCTCAGCGGCGCCCTGGGTCCCCGAAGTAGCAGCTGTGCAGCCGCTGCCTGCCAGATTCATTGCAAGCTTTCTGCTGCCTGCTGCCTGTGCTCTGGTCAGAGAGAGCAAGGAGGCAATGTTAGG